ACTGCTCAAACTCTTTATCAACGGTTAGTTTCTTGAGACCTGGCTCTGGATCTGCATCACAAGAAAAATATGTATCATATAGGTAAATCTTACAACATTTCTAAACCAAGTAACCACGTCCTCTAAATAAAGGCGGACCTATGTATTATAGTGAGGGGTCACCGGACCCATAAGCTTCGGCAAAAATCCTGTATATGTATATGTATATACCTTGAAAATGGTTAATTTTGAAGTACTTGGCACCCTGAACACTAAAATCCTTTAGGGGACACTGGTTGAGCACTGACATAAAAATCCTCAGTCCGCCTCTGCCTCTATACAAACATAAAGGACCGACAAGAGGCATGCAACTGTGCACACACATCTGCACGCAAATTGGAGCAGACACCAACACACAAAAAAAAAGAAAAAAGAACTGCAAGTCATCCAATACTTAGTCAAGTGTGATTAGAACAAACCATTCTTTTCAAATGTCTTTATTCTTCCTTCTAAAAATTCAACAAAGTGTCTTGAAAGGACATTAACATTAACCCCTTGAAAATTCTTAGATTAAATCTCAGTGATAACTGAAATTTAGAATTTAAAGTTAAGAAGAGAGGAAAAATAAAGAATCACAGATAAGAAGAGTAACAAAACGAGGAAAAAATGCGATTTTGTTTGCTTGTATTAAGCAAAATGATGTTGACTTACGTTACCTTACGCAACTACGTACTTTTTCTTCCCCACCAACGTATACTTGTTAATTGATTAACCCTAGGTTGTTACCTGAATATTCAATGTTGCTTTGTTAGTTCATCATCCGACTTGTACTGCTTGGCAATGTTAGTTACTGCCAATGCACAGAGGTTGTCAATAATTTTCTTAGGAAAGTACCAATTATGTCTGCTTATACCTCCATTTCCACATGCCTGTTGAAAACTAAAACATCTCCTTTAGGTCGCTTAAATATTACAATTGGCTTCTTAAATTCATCATTAATCAAAAGATAATTAAAAGCTATAGAAGCTTGTAGCCTCTGTATCCCAAGTACTTTATAGGCTTAAAACTTCCAATTAATGCAAAGTATATTACTTTTGAGTACTATTTTAATGTGTTAAATTCATCTTTTTCTCTCCTGCAGAACCGGCCATTACCTCTTGAACATGTTCGACAGCGTCTTCCTCATAAACTCTTCAAGATACAACTGCGAAAAACATTTTCTAGAACTTCTGATCCACGGTTGTTCATTGTATCCTACTCCGTCAAGCAAGATTTGTTTCAATTGCACGTACCAGTAGCCTCTGAAGAAATTGGAGAGAGCAGTAACACTAAATTGGAAAATGCTGAGCTGAACAAAGAGATAGAAAACGAAGACAGNTGGCTCCTTGTATCAAGTGCTGATGAAATGGACTGCATTAAGATGATCCATAATGTTCCCTTTGGTCCCATATTCAAAGACTAGCGTTGCATATTTCTGGGCAGCATATTCCTATTTTCCCAACCTGGTACATTCCTGTTGTATAGCTCATGATGAACTCTGTCTTGATTCTCTCCAGCAGCAGTACCTTCTTTTTGGATTACTGACCTTTGTTTCATGAAAGTATTGCTTCCTTTACTGACCATAAACCAACTGTGTGATGTCTTCAACTTCATGCTTGTGCTTACCATATTAACTCCTTCTAAGGAAATGACCACTAGGTGCTAATACCACCCAAAGAAATCGTATAATACGATAAGGCATGAGAACAATAATTTTTCCTGCAAAAAAGAAAACATAGTTAGTGAAAAATGAGCTCAACATATCCTCCTCCCTAAGGCTTCAAATATGATGATCCAATGAACTCTCCTGTCCCCTGTTCTTCCTTAACTCCTTACTCCTTAATTTTTGGCAACCTTTACCCTCAAGGATGGACATTGCATCTTATCTTCATTCACAACCCTCCTGCCTTTTGTGTCTAGATTCCAGAAGTCAAAACACTCTATATTGCCAACATCTAGAGCATAGTTTGCTAAGTGGTCTGCCAGTTTATTCCCCTCTCTGAAGATGTGTGACACCTTGATATTGCACCCCTCCAACAGCATCATAATCTCCTCCACCTGCTCAACTAAACACCAAGTTAGTTGAATACAAAATTCTCTTATTTGTTTTTGTTACTACAAGGGCTACATACAACATAGCAATATTAACCATATAAACCAGCCAGTAGAACCAATTATTAACCACTAAGACCAGCTGTCAAACTGAATGGTTTCTTTTACAGCATAAGCGTGGAAAAGTACTGCTCAAACTCTTTATGAACGGTTAGTTTCTTGAGACCTGGCTTTGGATCTGCATCACAAGAAAAATATGTATCATATAGGTAAATCTTACAATATTTCTAAACCAAGTAACCACGTCCTCTAAATAGAGGCGGACCTATGTATTATAGTGAGGGTCACCGGACCCATAAGCTTCGGCAAAAATCCTGTATATGTATATGTATGTACCTTGAAAATGGTTAATTTTAAAGTACTTGGCACCCTGAACATTAAAATCCTTCAGGGGCACTGGTTGAGCACTGGCATAAAAATCCTCAGTCCGCCTCTGCCTCTATAAAAACATACAAGGACCGACAAGAGGCATGCAACTGTGCACACACATCTGCACGCAAATTGGAGCAGACACCAACACACACACAAAAAAAAAAAGAACTGCAAGTCATCCAATACTTAGTCAAGTGTGATTAGAACAAACCATTCTTTTCAAATGTCTTTATTCTTCCTTCTAAAAATTTAACAAAGTGTCTTGAAAGGACATTAACATTAACCCCTTGAAAATTCTTAGATTAAATCTCAGTGGTAACTGAAAATTAGAACTTAAAGTTAAGAAGAGAGAAAAAATAAAGAATCACAGACAAATAAGAGTAACAAAACGAGGAAAAAATGCGATTTTGTTTGCTTGTATTAAGCAAAATGATGTTGACTTACGTTACCTTACGCAACTACGTACTTTTTCTTCCCCACCAACGTATGCTTGTTAATTGATTAACCCTAGGTTGTTACCTGAATATTCAATGTTGCTTTGTTAGTTCATCATCTGACTTGTACTGCTTGGCAATGTTAGTTACTGCCAATGCACAGAGGTTGTCAACAATTTTCTTAGTAAAGTACCAATTATGTCTTCTTATACCTCCATTTCCACATGCCTGTCGAAAACTAAAACAATTGGCTTCTTAAATTCATCATTAATCAAAAGATAATTAAAAGCTATAGAAGCTTGTAGCCTCTGTATCCCAAGTACTTTATAGGCTTAAAACTTCCAATTAATGCAAAGTATATTACTTTTGAGTACTATTTTAATGTGTTAAATTCATCTTTTTCTCTCCTGCAGAACCGGCCATTACCTCTTGAACATGTTCGACAACGTCTTCCTCATAAACTCTTCAAGATACAACTGCGAAAAACATTTTCTAGAACTTTTGATCCACGGTTGTTCATTGTATCCTACTCTGTCAAGCAAGATTTGTTTCAATTGCCCGTACCAGTAGCCTCTGAAGAAATTGGAGAGAGCAGTAACACTAAATTGGAAAATGCTGAGCTGAACAAAGAGATAGAAAACGAAGACAGCAATCAGTCGAATGTGGAACAAGTTACACCCATAGAAGAGGTAAAGAACGAGTTAACTACAGAAGGTGGCTCTTCTAGCAAGAGGCAACAAACTGAACTGGAGAAACCCCCCCCCCCCCAAGAAAAAATGAAGGTTAATAAACTTTATCTCGACTTTTTCATTACTTTGTTCCATACTTGTGATAAACTTTTAGGAGCTTGTTACTCATGTTCAAGTATAACTTCTATGACTTCTGCTGTTCGAGTAGCAAATTATAATTGCAGCACAAACAGCTCAAAAGAAACTTCAAAAAAAAAGGCCTATTGCATATTGCATTTTATTCTATATTCATTCATAAGCTCTATTTCGCTCACATTCATCCTCTCCAAAGAACGCCCTCCAGCAACCAATCCAAAAAGAACAGACAGAGAAAGAAGTAGTTTCATGCTAACTCCTCATTTTCCTGTGATTGGTAAACATTACTGTGTTGCTAATGTTGCCAATCCATTGTTAGCTAAATTTCAAGTACATTATCTTTCATTAAATATTAGTAATATTACAATACTCCTACCTATGAAAGAATTCTCTAAGTTCCCATTTGTTCAATTCAGTATTGTTGCGCTTTTTGTTCCTTCTAAAAAAATACTTATAAAGTAGTACTACTTTATCTGTACAGGTACTCTAAGACGTTCTTGTGCTTGGATTGATTTATACTTTCTACCTTGCACTTTTATTTCCCTTGTATTGCTATAACTGACTAAGATTATGCTACATATTTCTCAATTTGTAGTTTACTGATAAAACCAGTTAAACAAATGTGCTGCAGGATTTATTCAACTATAAAGGCAGAGAATTCTGTCTTAAAATAGAAGGGAAGAGTGAATGTTCAAAACAGATAAAAACTCTAACATAGTATTGTTTTAAAATATCATAAAGGATAGGAGCAAGAAATTGAATATACATAAGACTAAGAGTAGCATATAGTTGATTAGAAGATGAAGGGAAAATTGCAGAACTGTTGTGACCTTCTGCCACCTGGTATTTTCACCAGAACTGGAAGAAGAAGATTTGGCTACCCATATTTTATATTTATGGACATGATTCATTAATAGTTTCTGATGCAAGGCCCAACATGATTAGCGTAGGTTTTTAGGTTAGTTGAAGTCTTTTAGTACAATATTGTAGACAGTATCAGCATCTGAGAAAAGGTCTTTCAGAACAAAGTAGAGAAAAAAGTTGTGTACAACACTAAAGACGTCATAATTTTCACTATATTGCAGGCTAATATACAAAGGTATTCTGTGTGCCATCACCTTAGCTATAAATAACCAAATTTGTGAGTTCGAAAACTAAATACACCTTCTAAAGTGATGCAACTCCCGTTTTTATTGTTCTGCAACTATCAATTTGAAATCTCAAGTGCATTTTGTTCGCAGGGCGTTATAACTCTGTAAAATGCCTGTACATACGTCTTATCCTACTATGTAAATACGTGTTTGAAGATCGCCAGCTTCTGCTTGACAGGTAATGCAAAGAACAACCCCTACTTTTTTCAGCTACCAGAAAATGTTTCCACTTGCCGTTATTGACGTCGTTTTGTTTGCAATATCGCAGAAAACATGGACAACACAGTTCACTTTGTGTAACTTACTGGCATGTACATATATATTTTTGTTAGCCGGTAAAACATATTGGTGTTGTAGCTGATGTAAATAGTGGGTTGAAAGATTGACAGTAAATATGACCTCCTTTTTGGCTTGAATTTGTTTTCTTCACTCTGCTACATATCCAACTTTCTAAGACTGAATCGAAAGAAATTTACTGTCATCCAAATGATAATTCAAAAAATTAAAGGGATAGAAAACATGGATAACACAGTTCACTTTGTGTAACTTACTGGCATGTACATATATATTTTTGTTAGCCGGTAAAACATATTGGTGTTGTAGCTGATGTAAATAGTGCGTTGAAAGACTGGCAGTAAATATGATCTCCTTTTTGGCTTGAATTTGTTTTCTTTACTCTGCTACGTATCCAACTTTCTAAGACTGAATCGAAAGAAATTTACTGCCATCCAAAGGATAATTCAAAGGGATTACGACGCGCTTCGTCCCAAAGACCATAATGTTTAACAAATCAACTCACATATCTCAATACATAACTGATCAAAATGCAAGTTGTTCTCTGTAGAAAGTAATTTATTTTCTTTATAAATTAATATAAACTGCTACTTTAATCAAGTTTGGGCCCGGGCTCAGCACGGGCCATTCCCACTAGTATATAAAAAAAAAGTAGTTTAGTGAATAAGAGCACAATTTTTTAGAAGGATGTTTTATTACATGGAGGATTCATGGTTACTACCAATATTATAGAATAAACGTAAAAAAAAGGTTTAAAAACCAACTTTTAACTTATCGAAAAACCAACCTTAACTGAAATCAAGCAGCAGCAGCCTGTTGTTGCTCCCTCTCTGCATGCTCCCTGATTTTATAAATAAATACAAAAAAGTTATTTTTTCTTCTTTTATTTCATTATTCGTATTTTAGAATATTTCTCCAAAACTCTAACCTCAACTTGTTTATTGAATGAAACCTCTTTTATAATACGCACGTAGTTTTCTCTTGAAGTTCAAAAATGTTTTCAACGGCTTATTTCAATAACATTTTCCCACAAATTGTTGTTTTAACATACAATCAGTGATGCAAATAGAAGTTTGCTCAAATGGTAGTATCAGTCTTTAGAGCCCGTTTGTACATAAGAATTTTTTTACTTTTTCAGAAATTTTTTTACTTTTTTTCGAAATTAATGTTTGGCCATAAAAATTTCGATTTTTACTTGAAGATGATTTTGAAATTTTTCGAAAAATTAAAATACTCCAAAAAAACTGCTTTTTAAAATTTTCACTCAGATCACTTACAAAACTTTAAAAACAACCCAAAATTATATTCTAAACACAACTATAATTTTCAAATGCCATTTTCACTTGAAATTTTTTTCCACCTTTTTTTGAAATTTTACAATTCTTATGTCTAAACGCCCACTAATTATCACAACAGAGCGTACTTGGTTTTGTCTATTCCTTTCTTAAATTAATGTTTATTTACCTCTTTAAAAGTAAATACTCAATATATTTTATCAACGCTATAATTTAAAATATTACTCCTTCATGAATAAATACAAAATATTTTTTAATAGTAAAATAAGAAATGTATGATAATTTTGAGAGACATAGAACTAAGACATGAAGATCAATCAAGTAAAGATATAAATATTAGTTATCTATTTTTAGAAGAAATATTCAAAGATATCCACCCTCGCGATATTTTCAATTAGTAAATAATTATTTCTATAGATAAAAAGAACTTTAACCATTCAATTGTTAAAGAATTTTAAGAGTTAACAATGCAAATTAATGAATTCAACACATGATTTGCATAGGAACTTGGGTGAGTCCGAGCATTGAGCGTTAGGTATGTTTAGGGCGCACAGTCGGGCGCTTGGGGGTGTAAGCCTCACAGAACTAAGTCTCACACATGAGTCTCAAGGCGTTTTAATAGTACCCCGTCTTGGGGCGAGCCCCGAGGCGAGTCCCAAAAAAGCCTTTTAAAACACTGGTTTTTATGTATCGGTTGAGAATATATCGTATTATATTACAATATACCTAGTGGTGGCAAAATAGATAAAAGAAAATTGCTATCCACCCATATTATCCGTTAAAAAATAGGTTTGATAATTAACTTTTGAAAAATTATCCACTTAGAAAATGGTTAACCAGTGAATTACTAATGGATTTAACTTTTACATTCGTAAAGCCTCAAATTGGGGGTTGCTCAAGTTTAAGGGAAACTAGGAATTCTCCCAAAAGTGATCATATTCAAGAAGCCATGGATAATATGAATATCCATATTATCTGCCGATTAATCCTTTTTTATCCGTATTAAATATGTCATGCACTAACGATATGAAGAATAAATTTGCAATATTATTTTTTTTAAAAGGTACAAAGTAGAATTATTATAAAAAATATAGGGTAAAAGATAAGATACGACTATTCAGTAATAAGGAAGAGCAAGATGAGAGGAAAAAAAGCTAACGACGCAACCACACAAAATAGATCGTTGCATAAAGTGACAATTTTCATTGTTACGTAACGACAGATTTAACGCTATGATACAATAAAATTTAAGTAACAATCAAAATAAATATCGTATTTAAAGTAACAATACGATACAATACAACATGTAACAACCATCCAAACAAGTTGGTAGCTCAGAGGTCTATTCATATACATATACCATTCTTTTATTTTTCTACTTCTTTTAATGCGAATAGAGTCGTTAATTGAAAACAGGAAAAAAAAAAGTCGGAACAATTAGTGGTAAATCAATTTTAAATTCTACATGTCTTTTAATTTGAGTTCCAAAGAGAAATGTTTTAAAGAAATTTCATATATAAAAGATAGGAAAAATTAATGTAAATTACTAAAATATAAAAGAGTAGTTGGCCATGCGTTTTCATAGAAAACTTGTGTTTAAAAGTAGTAAAAAGCAACAATTAGGTGATCACGCCCAATTATGCCTTATAAAAAGGATTCTGCGGACGCTGCAAATATAACCCCGAGTATTACGCCCAGGGTCGAATCCACAGAGAGTTAACCTATCAACCACTACCTTCAGACCCACTAATTCTTCAGAACCAGCTTCCCAAATATTCAAATTCTCAGTTGAGTGTTCTTTAACAACTAGCTTGCAAGTAACTAAATGGCTGTAACTAAATTAATAAGGTTGTAAACAATTATGAGGAAAAGCTAAGGCAATGATTTCCCCTATTGATGGAATCCCTTCTGTTTATGCTCATATAAATTTACCCACACATCTCTATCAATCATGAACACTAATCTTACCGCAAATCTCTCCCGAGTAATCACAGTAATCTACTATTGCACTCTCCCGAGATACACTAACTTACTTTATTTAGCACAATTCACTTTAGATTACACCCAAGGCTTCGTTATCCCTAATCCCGCCTTTAAACCTACAATTATAAATTCCTCTAATAATCTAGGATTGGTGTTGTTCAACAATACCCTAAATATGCACTCTTTTCCAAGTTATGCACACTAAATAGGCACAGCTAATTGAGGATCCTGTCAATTAACTACAACGAACACGAAGTTGAACAAATAGAGATTAAACTAGCAATTTGTATTCACATAAACAAGAAGTTCATCACCCAATAGGTTCCATCAACGCCTTAGACAAGGAATTTAGCTACTCATGGCTATGGGAAAATAAACTAAGATTGAATTCATCATAAAAATCAAAAGAAAAGAAGAAAGATGTTTAGAGTATTCTCTCACAATGGTTTTCCTTGCTAAGAAACCTTAAAAATCAATGCATGCCTCTCTTGGGCGAAGTCTAATGTTTTAAATAGGGTTTAGGTCTAAAAATCCTGTAATTGACACTTTGGTCCCTGAAGTTTCTGCGCCCGCCGCGGTCGCGGTAGAACCGCGGCCAAACACCCTCGCGGATTCTCACAACTTCTGCAGCTGCTTCCCACCGCGGTTCTGCCGCGGTCGCGGTGGAACTGCGGTGGATCCAGTACTCTGAATTCTTCGGACTGTTTTGCCTGGTTCACTTGGGAAATTTCACAGTTGGCCTCTTTTTCATCACTTTTAACTCCAAAACTGCTCCTTAGCCTTCCTTATACATATATCACCTACAAATCATGAAAAGCACTAATAAGAGCATTTTGTCATCACTTTTAGCATTAAAACTACACAAGAAGGTGATTATTTACGGTGTGATTATAGTCAAATTCACCTATTATCATTAGGTATTTGCGAAGTTGGTGAAACTTTTGACCAATGTGCTTCTGGAGGATACATATCAACACTTCCAATTGCTTCTAGATGCAATAATGATATTTATGTTTAATAAACCAGTTTCCCTAGACGTGTTAATGTCTCAGTTTTCAATTGGATTAAAATAGGGTTGACAAATATTGACTTTGTAATATGTTGTACAGATATGTGACAAATTTCCTAGTTGCCCGATATTACTAAACATCAATCAAATGTTCCTCTTAGTTGTATGTATATATTAATATTTTGTTTTTCAGTTCATTGATTAAAGATGTAGTATATGACTTTTTAACATGAGACAATAGCAATAATTAGATAATGCATTTTGCTTGATTTTTCTCTTGTTTTTTTTTTCCGGATAAGATTAAAAAAGCAGAGTAGGATGAAATTTGCATCTCACACCGCTAAAATGTAAAATAAATATTCTATAAGCGAGTTTTCACTTAATTCTCACAAAATATATTTGAATTTGCCATGATTAAACCAGAAGTATTTTCTTGCTCTTTTTTGCTTTAATTTTATCTTTTATTGGAGAGGTACTCGGCTTGTGGCCGAGGAAATGATAAGGAAAGGGCTTTTGTGAAAATATAACCTTATACGTGTCTGGGATGCAAGGCAGCATCTATACAGTGGTCAATTCTCAAAGTGTTTTTTACTTCTTTGTTTTTTATTTTTTTCCGTCTAATTTTATCTGAATTTGTTTTTTGATTTCTCATATGATGATTGATACTAGTTTTCAGAATTTGGACTCGTAAGGGACATTAAAACGGGTAACGCTTCCTAAATAATTGTTTTCCATTCCCAAAATTCAAACTCGCGAGGAAATATCATATTCGTTCCACTGCCTCTCTTAATGTTGTTGAATTTGTTCTATTGATTTCTTTTTGGTGCAAAACAAAGGTTTGGAATTCTAGACTCTTTCTCATGAACTAGGCTTAGAAGGGAAAAAAAGAGTGATTTAGAGTAAATTAGTTTTTGAGATTTTGAAAAAATTAACTTCTCTTCAAAAGCCAGCTTTTGAAAAGCAAGCATTTTTTTTAAAAAATATATTTAAAAACACTTTTTAAAAGCTTGATCAAACATTAATTGCTGCTCAAAAATATTTTTTAAATTAGTAACCAAATACAAATTACTTTTCACGAAAAATACTTTTTAAAAAAAAATACTTAAAATAAGCTGATTTTAGAAGCTTGACCAAATAAACTATGAATTTTTGAATTGGCTGTGGTCAAATTGTTGAATTGTAGAAGTTGATATGCATATATTATGGTAAAACTTAAAAATCACTTTGACACAGAGCTCAATCCAGATTTAATTAATTAATTTATTACGCTGGTTGGCTCGACGTGAAAAACTAGATTTACAAGTAGCGTCAGAATTGAGACTTCAAAACGTAGTAACTAAAAGGCGAAATACATAAATGGCCCCTTCAAGTTATCCTCAACGACCAGCTGAACACCCCAACTAATCAATTTATCATTTAGACACTTCAAGTGGCTATTAAGTATTTCAAGTAAACACTCGTTACAGATGTGGCATATGCGTGTTTTGTAACAAACTGTTGGGTGCTTGAAGGTCATTTTTGAATTGTCAAATTCAAGAAAAAATTAATTAATTACAAGAAAATCCTCCATTCCTCCCCCTCCCCTCTACCCCCCCCCCCCAAAACCATCTTCTTGCTTTCTCCATCCGTGTCCCCCATTTTCGCAAATCAACCCCAAATATTGAAAGCAACTTGAATTGGCTACACTCCCCCAAAACATATCTTCTCACTTTTCCATCGTCTTCTTCAACAGATTCCGAACAAACCCAACATCAGTAGTCGACCAGACTTCTACGAGCACACTTCGAACAGACCCAAAAATATCAACGGACCCAAACGTTTCGAACAGACCCATCTTCTTCAATAAATTTTGAACGGACCCAGAAATTTGGTCTTCTTCAAACAGACCCGGTCATGTTCTTCTTCGAAAATTTCGAATCAAAGCCTATCGAATCAACTGCAATGGACCTTACACAACTTTGGAAATGGAGAATTGAAGTCTCAAATTCTTTGTCCAGCACTATTAAAAGAATATAAATTTCTTTTCATTTTCATCCTTGAATTTTCAATGACCAGTTACAAACAGATTGAAGTTCAATTTGAAGAAGCAAACCCACAGAAATGGTGTGTTCCACTAAAAGAAGATGTTTTTGTAACTTTCATGAATTCAACAACTCACAAGGCAGATTTCTTGTGTGAAGATTCGCTGTTTAGTCCACTATTGTTCGGAAAATTCTTTGATCCTTTAGATGCAAGGAATTTGATTCAGTACCTACGTTTAATTTGTTGGGAGTTAGGATGTAGGTTAATTTGGAGAAATGGAATGAGGGAAAGTTGATATTCCTTTTTTTTGGTTAATTCAAATTACACGTGTCGTTTTCTAATTGGTTCATTTGACACATCATTAGCAAGTGTAACTCACGCATATAGTTTGTTGCGCTCGAGTGTTTACTTGATACACTTAATAGTCACTTGAAGTGTCTAAATGGTAAATTGATCAATTGGGTTGTTCAGGTGGTTGTTGAGGACAACCTGAAGGGGCTGTTTATGTATTTCGCCTAACTAAAATACATGATACGTAATTTGAGTTGTAGTTTGGTACTTGTTACGTAATTCAAGAAAGTTGTTTGGATTACAGCTTTGAGCTGCTCAAACTTTTGGAATCACTATATTGACTTCTCCTTATCCCAGACACCGCTGTGTTTTTGGTAGGACAAAAAAAAAAATTCAGGAAAAAAAACTTTTTGTACAAGACTGTCAATGTCCCGAGCATCAACAACCACAACAGACCAGTAAAATCACACTAGTTGGGTCTGGAGAGGGTGGAGTGTACACAAGCCTTACCCCTACCACGGAGGAGTAGAGGTCCTGAGCAGCGGAAAACGGAATTTTTCAGGAGAGACATGACCAGGACTATCAAATGTGCCCATAAAACTGGAGGAATATGTCATTGCCATTATATTTGACAGAAGAATCTGTACAGCAATTGAACATAAAATTACAGAAGAAATAGTCATACATGTACAACACTTTAGAACTCAGAAGCATGACTAAAAACATGTGTTTCAGAATTTAATCTTCCAGACATCAAACGCAAAACTAAAAGCTTCTTCTTGTTCTTTGGCTGCAATTAGCTCCCTTCAGCATACATGCAACTCGCGTCATCAATTGATATTCATCAACGGTAGGATTTACTAACATAATTTTCATATACATTGAGATATTACATTTTATGAGTGAACAAGTTGAACACAGGCCAAGCCTCCAAGTGAAAAATAACAGCCATGTGTTTGTGTTGCTTGTGCAGGCAGGTATTGACAACGATCAGCTAAGGGACTTTCGGTTAGAAAAGTTTCATAGGTCTTCATATACCATATCCTGCATCAAGAAAATCAGCAGTCTTGCTCACTTTATGGATCTCAGTCACAGAAATAATGATAAAAAGAAAGCATGAACGCGGTTCGTTGTGAAATGAAAAATATAATGAAGAGCAGTAACATGAATCAAGAGAAACTCCATCCTTTTCCTCATATACATCTTAGAAAAATGATGACAGAAACAGAGTAAGGTAGAAGAGAAAAAGAAGGGGGTGGGCGAAAGAGATAAGGAAAACAAAGTGGACCTGATTGCATATTGGGCATGTTTGACTTCTTTCCATCCACTCCAGAATGCATGAAAGATGAAAATGGTGGTTACACCTTGCAACTATTCTTGGATTGCCAGCATCATATTCTGCAAAACAAGTGCAAAGGATAGATACCAAGACTATAAGCCAATCACAAACAGGTTGATTAAAAAAGCAAAAGGTACGGAGGAGGGCAAAAGTGAAGTCGCCTCTCCAATAATGTCCATTGTATATACCTTCAAGACATGTGGGACAAACATCCTCTTCGTCAGCTGATTGAATAATAGGTGGATTTGATTTTACAGGGCCAATCCCTGTTTTCTTTAGGGAGGCAAGAAGAAATTCTGTTTCAGTTTTGCAATCAGATTGCTTAATATCTTTACAAGTACTCTCATAGCTATTGTGAAGTAATGGTTCTTCTGTGAACTCGGAACCCCTGGACTGCGGATGCCCCAAAACTACTTCAAACGGAATTGGTGCAGGAGGAGCACGGTAAGTGTCAGGTGTTGATCTATCTAGGTTCAAATCATCCAGGAAGCCAGAGGCAAGTGCAGTAGCAGCGCTATCATCAGATGTCAAGGACTCATACTCTTCAGAAGCTGGTGGGAACTGCAGAAAGAAGACGGGAACTCTATGGTCAGAGTTTGAGAAGAAAAGAAGGCCATAGGAAAAAGGTTATATTAGGAAGAGCGATCAATGAACAAAAAAGGTGCCAGTCCATCTGCAGAGGACACGAGTAGTAAAACTGATGCGTAAGACTTCAGAGAGCATACAGTATATACAAAATCAGTTGCTTTCTTTTTCCTTCAAGTTTGAGTTTCATCACGAATACAATCACTGTGTTCAGGTTTATAAGGAACCAAGAACTGAATCAAGTATTCAAGTTTCTCCTGTATAAAATCGGTAGAGGTCTTTCAATGTTGCTTAATAGAACAATGCATGAGCCGAACTTACTATTAGTACAATATTTTGAGGAACTGTTTGAGCATTGTTGCTTAATAGAACAATGCATGAGCCGAACTTACTATTAGTACAATATTTTGAGGAACTGTTTGAGCAGGTAACACGCCTACTTTCAATAAGCCATCATTTTAAGAAATATCATAATATCAGCAAGCACAGACAAGTCCAAAAAAGACAATGTTCTAGAAAGTGAATGAATCAATAGGACAAAATCTGGAAGAACTTATGCTAGTTGGATGTTTCCATATGTAGACTGATCGGAATCATTACTAACATAGTAAAAGATTTGTGTTCCATGAAGATGGGGCGGCTTCCTTGAAGAGCAACAGCAACCTCCCATTCCTAGCAGTTATTCTAGTTGTCAATGTATATGTCTTATTTCCTGACACATTATCTTCTCCTTTTGTATGTATAGGCAAGGCACTGCTGAAACTAAAAAAGGGAGAGTGGGTGGACATTTAGAAAATATACAGAGTAATCACAAAAAAGAAATGCTTGGTTAAAAAGGAGTAAGGCAACAGAGATATGAAGACAAAGGATCAAGAATACTGCACAAAAGAGCTTCTTGAAACAAGAACATAAAACTACTTTCTGTTGGATCTCACGTAATACACGCCAGCTATAACAATTTAGGACCAAGCTAAGTACTTAGTTTATGCTCCTCCGCATAATTTGAAGAAACTTCTTTGCTTTTCTTCAATTTCTATACTGAAAGTCCCTAATTCTATGATAACAAAAACAAATCATAGGTGGTTAAACTCACATCTTTGCACGAAAACACTGATGTTAATACAGGCTGAGACACTCTTTATACCGACTGTCAACCAACATGTTTCCTAATTAAAACAAGTTACGGAATAACGCTTAAAAAAAACTAGTCATGGAATAACACCACAGGAGTCGCAGAATACAAGGTCATGTAAAGGCTTGGCAATCCACCATTAGAATACTGATCTCGTCATCTGATTGAGCCTGCCCATTTCGATATGGAGACTTTGTACTAAACATGTTCCAAAGATTGCATATGGACTGACTTATAGAAGCAAATTATCTAATATGTATAAATCACGCTTATAGTAACCCAATTAATTTGGGAGATTAGTGATGGTTTTTCCTATGGACTGGAACTTTGCCTAAGAATCATTGATTATGCTATATATTTACAAACCATAAGACTTCAACAACATTTCTGGTTACAACTACTTCACCAACAAGCACTAGCACTTGTTAATTCAAACAAAACTAATCCTTTGAGGAAATGTTAACTCGCGAAAGGTGAAATACTGAAATGATAGCACAAACTGAGAAAACAGAAGCTTTACACAAAAAACCTGATCAGTAGACCACAACCAAATAAAAGTTCACAAATTCTAACTACACCATCTTCAGTTTCAGAAGCATGCACATATACAGGCCGTGGCACACCAGAAAGACCAAATAGGAAAATAGCACTTTTACCTAGACAAAAGAATAAAATAGTGCAAACTAAGAAAAGCAGAATCTATACTCAATTAATAAACCAACCGGACAACAACAAAAACTTCACCTCAATTCTAAGCTAGTTGGGGTAGGCTATATAAACCCTCATCCAAACAAATTTCAGAAAATTAACTAAAACCACCTTCAGTTTCAAAAGTACATACATAAAGAAGCAGTGGCACACCAGAAATACCTAGAGAGAGAAAATAGAATCACTTTGCTAAAAGACAATAGAATTAATAGGACAAACTCAGAAAAACAGAATCTCTACACAGGAAACCTGACCCATAGACCAGACACAATACGTTTCAGAAGGCTAAACTACACCCAATTTCAGTTTCAAAAGCACAAACATACACAGCCAGTTGCACACCAGAAAGAAGACAAACTGAGGAAAAACAGAAGCTTTACCTCGCCAAATATCTTGCTTCTTCTTTCTTCTGAAAAAGGTTTCTGCTTGGAATTAGTAACTAGATAGGTGAAAAACAGAATCTTTACTGAAGAAACCTGATAAATAGACCACACCCAAATAAATTTCAGAAAAATTAAAAACATATGTATAATAAAGAGGCAGTGGCAATACCTAAAAACAGAACCTTTACCTTACTAAAGATTCTTCTTTTTTGTGTTTGGTGAAAGAACAAGCTTGAAATGATAATTAATGGGATGAAGAAGAATCTAAGGTAGTGAATGGTGAAGGGAGGGGCTGCTGCTTGACTTTTGAGAAGGACAAGGAAAAAAACTGAACAAAAGGAGTTCCATTCACCTTTTTCAAACTTTTTGGTAGAGATGGGAGTTAATGCGAATAGCACAAAGTTTAGGGGTCGGCACAGAAAAAAACAAAATGATCGGTATAGAAAATTCGCGATGTTTTTGGATTCGACAAGTACAATAAGCTATCGGGACGCAAAAAAGTACAATAAAGTGGCAATTGACGATTAAAAAAATAAATACGCAAAACCTGGCGTCGCCCGGACTCGAACCGGAGACATTCAGTGTGTTAGACTGACGTGATAACCAACTACACCACGACACCATTTGGTGCTCTCTTTTTAATATATCTAAATATAAGTAATGTGTTTGAAAAATAAAAACACTTTACCAAAGATTATTCAAATATCTACTTAAAATAACATAAATACATACAAAATATTTTAAGTCGCTGAATTGTAAATAATGCGATTATTATATATAGTCATATATTTATCAAGATAACGTTCGTTGAGTATGCTGCAAACAACCCAATAAGCAAATTGCGCACAAAATATGTATAGTGAGACATATTACTACGTCAAGTGTTAATGTAGCTAATGCACCTCGACTTTTAGGACGTAGTTCTGTGAGTTTTAGCCTCGTGATTGTCTCGTGGCAATCACTATATATGTGAAATATAACGATGAAATTGTCATAAATTAAATTGTATACAAAATACTATATATTACCATAGCCCATAGGGATCTTGAATTATTTTGATGGAAAAAAAAGAAGAAAAATTAACTTAAACAGTCATTCATTTATATATATATATACCGGTTAGGAAAAGTAAACAATAAATCCGATAGATTATTTACATACAAATCCCCAAAAAAAAAAAGATCTGATGCAGTACTGCCCGCCATAAAAATCATCCAATAGTGTGTAGAGGCCACCTCCTTAGCCGCAATACAGGAGAATAATAATAGAAAATCACGGCGAAAGTGAAAGATGTGTGGGTAAAAGTATTTAAAGGTGTAACCATCAATGTATTTGCAGGCCTAAAAAGGCATTTTACATATTAATAACAAGTGGTGGAAAGTGGAGATGACATTCTTGTCAATATTGTACCCAAGTTGCTTAAAAAGATAACCACTTTAATGGTGTTGCGGCTGACAAATCTTATTCTAGGTATAATAACTATGATAATTAGCATGTAAAACTAGGACAATTGTTCTTTCTTCGTGACCTTTCGGCAAAGTCACCTTGTCTATTTCTCCACTCCTACTGCCGTCCATTTATATCTTATGTATGATAATTCATATACAAAGATTCGAACTCTAACGGAATGTGTTTGAAGACATGGTAAGATACACTAAATATTGTATACGGTCGAAATCAGGCACGCTCGATTTCCCAGGTTCGAGGGATCGCCTTAGGTCCGAGTACAAGTAAGCTCGAGTTCGAGGTCGACAGACTAGACTCGAGCTCGGGGACGGAATGCAATGCCCGAAGATAGGAGTGCGAGGAATACCGAAGTTAAGTATGCTCGACCCCGAAATTGTACCGTTATGGATTTGTAACAGAATGAGCTAGATTCCTACCACGTCCCCAAAATCATGGCGCAAATCCCGGAATAGGATTTTACGATTCCGTACTAGGCGATTAGACAGTTGTACCAATAATATTCCTTACTGTAAATAGAAATGTACTTTATTTAGGGTTCCCCTATTATATAAAGGGGACCCCAATCGTTTGTAACATCACCTAATCATTGGCAAATAACATACTCTCTACTTTTCGCTTACTGTTCATCAGAATTGTCCTTTCTTTTTACTGTTGTTATTTTATTGTTCCTGGTCCATCTCGAGGTTACTAAGCTCAAGGTCACCACTGCTGAGTAACATTGGTTTGATTCACTTATTTCTTTCATTTCTACTTCATATTTCTTGATTATTAATTAGTATTGAACTAAATCACATATCTTTAAAATCACAAATCAAATTTAATTGTTACTCGTATTTTCGAGCAGTGGCAAATCAGAAATTTTATTTAGGGTGTTCAAATTTGAAATAAGTAAAAAAAAACGATAAAGAGTGTTCAATATATGTTATATAATATTAAAATATAATATTTTACTTATATATACAGTGTAATTTTTTAACGAAGGGTGGTCAGTTGACCACCCTTAGGGCCATGTACCTTTGCCCCTGTTTTCGAGGTAAACAAGCATATTGGTACGAAAAGATATGTGCTCAGAATGAAATAAAAACTGAGAGAGAATTTTCATTACTTAATTAGTCACGATACTTAGACGTGTGAATGATTCACTTCGCATTGAAACACTATTAAGTACATCATCGCATTAGCTGAGGTCTTAGGTTTGAGAGATGAAAATAGAGAATTTATTAGTATGGAGCATTTTACTCTTCTTTGGTGGACCTATTTGAAAGTAAATTTGAATTAATCGAGTCGATAAATTTCGAAATTCATGAATAGTTAAAAAGACAAAAAGACATGTATACCCTAAAAATGATGGGAGTTACTTGTCTATTTCAATATGAACTTCAACTTCTTCCCTTCGTTTTAGAGAAAAGGAATGCTCTAGAATAAATTTTCATTCTTTTATGGCATAATACACATTTTTCCCTGTGGATTT